CGCGGAGGAGACCTTGATCTCCGTCCAGGAAAAGCTTGATCAGCTCAGCCGGTAGGTTGTCCGGCCCGACGGCCTTTCTGTTGGCCATTTCCCGTACCGCTTCCTCAACCTCAAGTAGAGATGGGATGTCGTCGAGTGGCACGCACGTGGGCCACCGCTTGACCTTGTCAGCCGCATGCAGGTCGATGGTCGGCGACTTGGTGTTGAGAAGCTTGTGGAACCACCGTGCCCACCGTTGGCGAATAAACGTGGGGTCCCGAAGGACCTTGCCGTCCTCGTCCTTGATGTTCTGAGAGGTGAACGACCTCTTACCTTCGACGTCGATCATCTTCAGGTACTGCCAAAGTTCTAAAACAAGGTGCTCGTTGCCGGTACTTTGGTGGTCTGCCAATGCACATGCATGCGTGCCGCCAGAACACCCGCACACTGACAACGCCACTGGCAACCGATGACACAGCAGTCTATGTACTTTAGTTGGAGACTGTAAGAGTGCTCGGAAAGCTCTGGCTGACACACATCGCGTACACTGGAGATGATCACTGTAATGTTTTCCGTCGCTGCTGGGCACCCGCAGCTTCATGTAGCATCCGAAGATGAGACACCACCATTGTGGTTTAATTGACCGTGAAAGGTCAAATCATTACAATCGTTCTGACAAAACAGACACTTGTTGACGAGCTGTTGCGGAGACAAAATGCCCAATGCCAACGCAAACTGGACGTGTCTAATAGCTCAGGAGCTGTACGCTCACGACGACTCTGGGAGCTGGTCCCTGCACCCATGGTTGTGCACAAGCAAGTACCCAAAGAATTATTTGTGGCCCGCAGAAAGAACGGCACGCAGAAAAAACGGTACGTAACGGCTTTTGCCACCACAACCCGCGATCATACGTAAGCACACACTATTGTGTAGTTCAGTTGTGAGCACGCAAACGTGCTGCAGGGATTGGAGGTGTACCTCCTCGGGCTTGCGTGCCCTTTCCTTGCTAATAGTGTGTGTGTTCCTTAGATCATCTGATGGCTCTAGCATTTTTGTGACCACGGACCGAGTCTTTCTTGGAGTCTTTGCTAGATTTTGGGAATAGCAACTGACACGAGTTTAACGTGAAGAAAAACAACAAAAAAACAACACACCCAGCCAGGTTCCCCGCGACACTGCTGCTGCGTTGCGATGCGTTGCGATGCATGCACGGGTCAATCTGAGATGACGCACACGGGCGGTATGCTGCCGGGGACTGGACTGCTGTTGTCTCGAAGGAAGGATCAAGAAAGAGTTGATGTGGTGGTGTTGTGAGCGGATAAACATCGCCTTACGTAGAAACTGCTCATCAGGACGCGGCTGTGGGCGCTGCTGAGAATGGCACACGCAGCTCAAATCAGCTGGGTTGGTTTCCCAAACATGCCATAGCTGCTGCCAACAAGCTCTAAATACCACGAACACCGGCAGCACCGTGATGCTGCATATCTACACCGGCGCGACGAAGGCCTCCTTTGCCAATTGGATACAGACAAGAACGAATTCCAATATTGAAGGACGCACACAGCATGGCACAGAGCATGTGGCATCAACCAACAACCACAACCTCTTTGCATACCCTCCCTCTGACCTATTGCCGTTCAGGGCACAAATCGTTCAACTCGTCCCTCGAGAAACTCACTTGATTAGAGCTTTGCTCGTGGCTTCTGGTCTATGCATGGACGGGGAGGGTGTAGATAGCACACACCTGCGGGTTGCGCAGTGGCAACCCTTCACCTTGGCCACAGGTTCATTGGGGACTAATGACTACTCCATATACCACAGAGATAGGTTTGACGATAACGACCTTGTTACCTCCATCGTACGCTATTTACAATGCTGGAGCGGGGACGGGGGGACTGGTGGCGTGCAAAAGTCAATCCTGTCATCTGCATATCTGGGCGTGTCATGCATCACAACCTGCTTGCACAACCTGCTTGTAGGCTGTGGACCCCGTTGTCTCGTAGTCTACAGCAGTAGGAAACGCCAAGTGAGCACTGAAGGGATCCCTGAACTAAGGGGTCGCGTGTCCATACGGATATACAGTAGTATCGTAGTACAGGAATAGAGCAGGCATCGGGTGGGAGGCGGATGATGCGGAAAAGTCGCCCTGTTTCAGCAGAGACGTTGAAGCGGGAGGAGCTACCAACCGGCCCTTCATTGACGGATAAATAGTCGGAGCTATCGTATAAAGGCGCTTGAGTGCGTTGGCCAAGAGGGGCGAGATATAGTCTAGGTGTCGTGCGTCAAGGTCCTGTTTCGACAGCAACAACCTGCATACTGGTGGCGCCCAAGCCACAGCAGGAAAAGCTTTTGGGATGAATTAATAGAGCCGGCATGTGGAGGGGAAGAGGAACGCGCGTAAGGAGCCACAGGCTCCCCCTGTTGGCTCCGTCCCCACAAAAAACGCGCGGAGCGCAGATAAAAAGAGTCAAGAAAAAGCAACAGCAGTTGTGTCCTCTCTGATGCTGCTCCTCAGCTTGTGCGCAGTCATTCACCGTGCCGAGCTGAAGAGAATAAATGGACGAGGGCACCCGTGTTCATGTCAAGAACGATACAGAAAAGGGCTAGGCATCCCCAAATATACTTCTCGTGCGTGAAACGGATTATTTAGTCTAGTCTTAGTCTCGAATCTAGAGCGGGAAGAGATTGCTCACGCAGTACATTGGCCGTAGTAAACGGTGCAACGCCTAGCAACCATGCCGGCAGCAAAACATAACCACCGACGGATCGCGGCTGGCACCGTTATGTAGGTATGCACCAGCCACGTCCTGTGCTATCGAATGACCCTATCGACGAAAGGTTGAGCGCTCGGCGTGTTATTTTGTTATTGTTGTGTCGCCGAACGAGATAAAAAGCCAGCGGGAAACATCAACGCACGTTGAGAGAACTGAAGAGAAAAAGAAGCAAAAGCGAAGCATGCTAGCATAGCCGGGCGCGGTTGCGACATGCTACTACCGTGCAGTACGGGGCGGATGTAACTATTGTACCGACGACGGTTGGCGTTGATCTCTTCAACTCACTTTGCTGGGCTTGGTAGCTGGCGCTGGCTTGGTTGGACGGTGTTGTGGCGGCGGCGGGCGGCGGGTAGATTGAAGGAAGGATATATGCATGACTGCAGCCAAGGGGTCCTCGGTCAGGCAAGTTGCAGCCCGACCGCAGTTCGAGGAAAATAAATTGCTAGGAAGCTTCAGGGCGCGTGTGGCACCATATCTCTCCGACCGCTTTGACTGACAAATTGTGCGTGTTCTCTCTTCTTCCAGAAGAAATTCAGTTTCTTTTTTGCGTTTGCCGGTGCGACCTTTTCATCCGCCCAGCAGGCGCCGCATCCACTGGACGGCGACAACAGCGTTGGCAAGTGACTGGGGCCAGGCGATCGAAGGGAGAAATTGCCGCTAGCCGTCATGCTGACCAGAGCCAAGAGAGGAGCTACCCATTCCTACTGCTGTAGATATGAATATGGGTGAGGATAATCTAAGAACAGAATAAATGAACAAGAAAATGTCACACGACATACGGCACACGCGTGAAACCGCTGGTGTAATGTCTCAAACCAGACTCAACTGCTCGACATGATACATACTACAGCGGTGAAATCGCGAAGAGCTCTCTTTGCATTGGTTTTGAAGCCTGCGCAAGAAGACCGAAACCGAGACCGGCGCACTACTGTTTCAGCATTAAAGAGCTTCTTTGTAAAGGTACCGTAACGCGCGTGACCGTCTGGTGAACGTCTGCCCGTTCACATGAGCAACGAACGTGGCTGTAGAGGGACAAAATCCTTCGTCGAGCACGTTTTTAAGGTCCGAGCGCCAACTACGTGCAAGGCACGTTCTGAGCAATTCTGAGGCTCATTCTCAGGCTCGTTCTACAGAAGGAAATCTATACAGCTATAGTACACGGATATGCATAGGAGTCTCGACGCAACTTGTCGAGCGAGACCAGCCGATCCGTTGGTAAGAAACAACAATTATCTTCGGCAAAGGCTCAAAAGCCTCCCAGCTGTATCTCAACAGGAATAAACCGAAAAATATTCGATGCACCCGTGGGGGCGCACATATCCATGCACCCATACCTTTTTTACCGAAGGAACGACCCAACCAAGAGCGACCTAGGCCTCCACAACCCTCATGTAGCACCTACCCACGTCGACAGACACCAACCTAGCTATCCAAGCCTACCAACCTACGTCGATCGCATAAACACCAACCAATCATCTATCTACATCCTACAGGAGCAATACCAACCTTGAGATTATCCTATCAATACCAACCCACGGCAGGGCCAATGCCGGCACACCAACCTAGAACTGAGCCACCCAGCGCCAACCTGGCCCCAATGCCGGCAAACCAACCTAGAACTGAGCCACCGAGCGCTAACGTAGCCCCAATGCAGGCAGGCCAACCTGAAAACTGAGCCACGCAGCGCCAACCTAGCACCTATTGCGTAGGTTTGGGGTTAGGGTTAGGGTTAGCGTTAGGGGTTTTAACCGGGGTCATGTAGTTGCTACAGCACACTGCGCCTGCCCGTAGTAGAGCAACAGGTGGAAGAAACCCTTGTCAAAACGGTGCATCGAAGTCTTCCCACGCCCTTCTGCATAAATGCGCGAACCCTACACCACCTCTTAGGCTATCCGAGTCGACCTATGCATCAAACACACCGATTGAATTTGTCTGACATATTGTTGGCACCACCATTTCGTACCATGAAAAATGATGAAGCCAGATGTTCGTGTGTTTGGATACGGACTGGTTAGATCTACCGGCAACAACAGAGGGCACGCAGATGGGGCATATGTACACCTTGAAATGGTTGCATGTGCGGGGACCCCTCGAACTCCAAAGAGGGCTTCACTTCTTCCTACTCCCCTTGCGTGTCTAATACAAGAGATCACACGTCTTCCGTTTCCAAGTAAAGGACATATACGAACACACTAGTGTCCGTCCCTCGAGGGAGAGTCCATTAGGAATGTCAGGTCGCAAAGATGGGGGTGACTCCTCCAGCGACTCTGCGGCGGAAGACAGAAAGAGGCCAAGAGAAGAGCTCGTGGCCCTGAGGACGCAAGTTTGCTCGCTGACGGATCAGATGAGCCAGCTAATGTCGCTAGTGGAAGATACCATGAAGGCAAGCAAGAAGGAGGAGCCAGCTGGCACCATGGAGGGTGCCGCTGATCGCGGCGATGCTAGGGAGAGCGCCGCCGCGGAGTCCACGAACGCCGAAGGAGGGGCACCGTGGACCGGGAGTGCGCAGGACGGGAGGTACCTGCGCGAACCTATTCGAGAGTATGGCCCGTCAGGGCGACACACCGGCGAAGCAGGGGGCTTTGTCCCCCAAGAGGTGAGAATAGCCGCTGCTCACAACCAAAATTATAGTCGTGCCATGGGAGATGGTGGTGGTGCTGTTGGCTTTGGATACGGAACCACAACCCCAGCGACGGGGTACCAAAGTGTGCGGTACACTCCTCCCCCGTTCAGCGGGAAATCGAAAGATTTCAACGAATGGCTATATGATTTCCGCATGGCAGCTAATGGCGCAAACCCGTTGGAACAATTTGAAGAGAGCGGGAGCTTGGAGATCCCCGTCAACAGCGGAAAGAGCAAGTTTTCGCTGTCACAGCAGTACCGGAGCAAGTAGAGCTCGCATTCCACGCGTGGAACTTCCTGGCTCACGCGTTGAAAGAAAAAGATCGGAAAATCATGAAGAGGGCGGAGACGCCCCAGGGAGCTCTTCGTGAGCCCAAGACCATACACGACCCTGAATCATCTGTACAGCCGTCAGAGGAACTCGAGTCCCTGACGTCGACCAAGATCTCTAGAGGTGGAAACCCCCAAAACGCCCTAAATGAGATGCTCCAAACCGCAAGGTCCTTAACCGAGAAAGGACTAACTGTCAACGAATCGTTCGTCCTTCACCTCTTCCTGGATGCCCTTTCGGACGAGTATGCTATGACAAAGCACAACCTGCGACACGCGAAGGAGTTGAGGCGGACCGGTGTGCTAAAGGAAGTGATGATCGAATACAAGGCGATCAAGGACAAGCTGGAGCAGGGGAAAGGAAAAGGGGCGAAGGGCGCAGAGCAAGCGTACTTCGCCGACGGTGAGGGCCGCAGGGAGCGGTACTCAAGTAGGAGTCAGGGGCAAGGTCGTGGTCGTGGCGGCGGCCGTGGCCGCAGCAGCAGTCGTGGCCGCGGCGGAGGCGGTCGCAGCGGCGGCGGCGGTCGCGGCGACCGCTCAGGCGGATCCGGAGGAGTCGAGGAGAGCAAGGGAAGCAGCAGTGGAGGCGCCGATGGCGGCGGTGGCGGGGACTATAAGTTCCCGGGCCGGTGCTTTAGGTGTGGACATCGTGGACATCAAGCGATCGGCTGCACTACCAACGAGAAGGACTTCGTGCCGTGGTGTGCGCGCTGCGAGGGGTGGGGCCACACCAAAGAAAAGTGCGCGACGGAGGAGGCCGTCCTAGCGCAAGTGGTGGAGCATGAGAGCGACGTGGACTCCGTGGAAGACCAGGCGTTTTGTGCCGTGGCAGTCCCCCCAGGCGAGTGTGGTACCGTTGGTGAAGTAGGTCTAGTGGGGGTTGTGAAACAAGGCCAGGCGGTGAACATGGCCGACACAGGGGCCACGTGGTCCATGTTCCCATGTGCAGATAACTTCGTGAACTACCGTGAGCGTAGCGGTTGTGTTAAGGGGATCGGAGGCGACAAGGCCCCCGTTCCTCTTCTAGGATACGGAGATGTGACCTTA